CACACACACACACACACACACACACACACATTTTCTTTTCAGCCTGATGCATTTTTTCTTCACGGCACTTACCATCATCTGACACCTACCACACACAGAGTAGGGAAAGCAGGGATTTTTGTTTTTTTCATCATCATTATTATTATTATATTATTATATTATATTATTATATCATCATTATTATTACCTCGAATGTACCTGTTCACAGGAGGCGAGCGACTGCCTCACCATAGGTCCTCAACTATTTGTTGAATGCAAGCTTGAACGAATTGAGGAACTGTAAGTTGCTGACAGAAAATCCTAGAGGAAAATAAAAATAATACAAGATTGTTCTTGTGTTTGAGGAGAAACCAAACCAAAACAAAGCAAACAACTATTGGGGAAGAATTAAAATGTGTATTGGAGATGTTTGTTAGCCAAGCGTTATATTTAAATTGTTTTGTAAGTTTACAATGAAAACCCAAGACCTGCCTCCCACTCTTGACAAAATCTCTAGTTAAATTTACAATGAGTGGATTTAGGGGGCAAATGTGAAATAGGCTGAGTTCTACAGCAAGTCTGACAAGGGAAATGCAGAGTCAAACAGCAAAGCACTTATAAAATAAATTTTTTAAAGGCACTTGTGGATTCTTCAGTTCTTAATCATAGATAAAGTTGTAAAGAATGATTCACCACCTGGGGCACCTGGGTGGCTCAGTCGGTTAAGCTTCTGACTTTGGCTCAAGTCATGATCTCATGGTTCATGGGTTGGAGCCCTGTGTGAAGCTCCACGAGACACAGATTCTGTGCCTCCCTCTCTTTCTCTGCCCTTCCCCCACTTGTGCCCGCTCTCTCTCAAAAATAAATAAACATTAAAAAAAGGATTCATCACTCATGATTATGAGTACATGATTTTTCATTTATACACATTATAGGTATAATTACTATACTTTTCAGAGCCACACAAGAGATATAAGAAGAAAATGAATTTTATCATGGCAGACACTAGAACAATATAAATAACCAAAGCCACTGAAGGTAATTGAATGATAAGTTAAAGTATTAAAATTTATAAACCATTCAAGTACTAAATCCATAAACTCTTGAAAGGCATATTGGAAATAGCAGGCTAAGCTCATGATTAATGAAGACAATTTGACATGATCATATTTTCTATTTGAAAGTTTTATACTAAAATCAATGTAGTTCCTTCTTTATCCTGACTAGGTAAGACTGAGAACACCATAAAATGAGTATCTTCACAGGAAGGCATTTTCCCATCAGCATAATAACACATTTTACAGATTCCTAGATTACGGTAGTAGTAAAAATTCTAGTTGATTGCTTATTAGTTCAAGGTTTCTGTCCAATGAAATTGATAGTTACTATATCTTCTTTTTTTAATTCTTTTAACAGTTTATTTATTTTTGAGAGAGACAGGGAGAGTGAGCAGGGGAGGGGCAGAGAGAGAGGGAGAGAGAGAATCCCAAGCAGGCTCTGCAAGAGATCATGACCTGAGCAGAAACCAAGAGTCAGATGCTTTTTTTTAAAACATTTATTCATTTTTGACAGTGAGAGAGACAGTGCATAAGCAGGGGAGGGACAGAGAGAGGGAGATACAGCATCCGCAGCAGGCTCCAGGCTCTGAGCTGTCAGCACAGGGCCCAACATGGGGCTCAAACTCACAAACTGCGAGCTCGTGACCTGAGCTGAAGTCGGACGCTTAACCGACTGAGCCACCCAGGTGCCCCTAGATGCTTTTTAAAAAAATGTTTATTTATTTTTGAGAAAGAGAGAGACAGACTGTGAGCAGGGGAGGAGCAGAGAGAGAGGGAGACACAGAATCTGAAGTAGGCTCCAAGGCTCCAAGCTGTCAGCACAGAGAGCCAGGTGGGGTTTGAACCGATGAACCGTGAGATCATGACCTGAGCTGAAGTTGGATGCTTAACCGACTGAGCCTAGAGTCAGATGCTTAACCGACTGAGCCACCCAGGTGCCCCAGTATCTTCTTGATTCTACGATGCCTTTGACAGTCATATACACTATTAATTTAACAACAACTGTGGACACAAGAATAAGTAAACAAATGTAGTAAATATTCACATTGAATATGAGATGCATTCCAACTATGAGAAAGGTCAATTTCAGGCAAAGTGCATCCTATCATTGTGGAAATACTGTGCTATGAAAATAGAAGATTTGAATTCAGCACGTTCATTGCTTCCTGGTTTTGAAACCTGTATTTTGAAAACTGAATCTTTTTGGCTCAATTGTCTGACTCTAGAAGACCATTCTCTTCTTCTTTGTGAGGCAGAGGAAAGGAGGACTGAGGAAGGGAAGAGCAGACCAGATGATCTTTGAAGGAACCCTACAGCTCTAAGGTTGTGGTTCTATGTTTCTTGACAATACAATTACTAGAAGAAGAAGATTCTAATGTGACTAATTCATGCAAACACTTGTGTTGATTTTCATTCTGATCCAAATCTTGATCACACTTCTTACAGAATTTCTACCTTTGTAGCCCCTGATTTTAAGAGGGCCCCTGAAGTTTTTGATTTTAGAGGTCGGTAAGTCATTCTTTCTACATAAAATCTTCGATGACAAGCTCCAATAGCCAAGGTAGACACAGCTTCCAATGAGCAGGACGGCAGCCCCACTTCTAATAAGTTAATCCAATGGTTTTTGTCATGAGCAAAACAAGAAATCATGTTTTTAATCATACTAAAAGGTCTCTGCATCTTGTTAACATCTGGAGTTCAATCACTTCTGTGCTAAAAACTGGGGAATGCTTCAGCAGGGCATAAATCTTGCCCCTCATTGTACATGCGATCCAGATGCTGGAGGAGAATTAACGTTCGTTTGTAACACATCTGGTGTCGGCAGCTTTGAGTAAACTCTAATAGAAAGAGTGCGGAACTAACGTGGCATTACACCTTCCCTCGGGCCAGGGGTTCTAGACTGAAGGTAAAAGCCTGCAGGTGTCCCTTGGGGCTTAGCAATAAACTGCACTAATCAGCTCTGGCATTGTGTTAAGTGCAGGGTGTTTTGAATTTTCCACAGAAATTTCACAGCCCAGTAATTCTACATTCCAACTGTCTGCTTTTGACAACTCTTTAGATGTGCCACCATCTTGAAACTCCAAATAAAGGGAAGGCCCAGAATCACTGTCAGGGTTAGGCTATCCCAAAAGATGGGAAAGGGCAGATCGCGACCAGAGCAGTTGTGAACCAGTAACAGGATGCGGCTAACTGTAGGTATCAGAGGTGGCTTCAGTTCTGTCAAGAAAGGCAGTCCCCGGTAGAGTTGAAAGAGCATTGAACTTGAATTGGGACATCTGAGCTTAAGTCCCACCTCAGTATGTGTGCAGAAGTCCAAAATTACCTGGGTCACGGTTTCTCACAAGGATATCTGAGAGCCAAATAAGATGATGGCTTTTTGTAACAAATGGCTCAAGTACTAAATTCTTAGGATAGCATTTTAATTCACTTTGTAGTATAGCTTTCCTTTCCAAACTCCTTTATCCTCCATATACACTTGGTATTTAAATTACCACAAGTATCTTGCTTTTCAAAAGCCTATTGCATTCTTTTGTGCTTTGGAGACTTTATCCAGGCTACCCCTATGGGTTTTCTTTGCCTCAGTTCTTTTGCCGACCTGTGATTTCCCACTAAGCCCTATGTCTTCTTCTCCACACTCACACATGTCTCTATGATAGCACTTTGTGCGGAACATCATATATTGTCCACTGTTTTTTTTGTTTTTTGTTTTTTTTGTGCCTATCTCCTTGGCTACACTTTGATCCTGCTTCATGAGAATCTGGGAAAGAAAAGGTGATATCTATTGGAAGTACTTAAATAACTCTGCAGGATACATTTCATTTGTTGCAGATGGCCTCTGATTACATCACACTTCCAGGAGAAAAGTATTTATGATAGTCAAATGATAGGGCATAGAAATGCTACTGGGTAATTGGAGGGTTTATGTTAGGATTTAAAAGAACATCTAGTTAACCATGGAAGTGTTTGTATGATAGCATTGTGCTCTGTTGGGGGCCAGGCTCTGAGGTCAGGGAAGTAGGATGCTTGCCCCACAGGAGCATCTAGAGAAAGATCAGATTCACATTCCCCCATTCACACTCTGCCCGGCTCTTGTGCTCATTGAGGGAAATTGTGGGTGAAGCCTTCCACCCTATTCTAAGTGTTCTTTAAGTTGGTTGAATTTTATGAGTTAAATGTGCATATGACGTGATTTCACCAATCATATGTTTTGAATTTGGTATTTGTAACTATAAGTAGAATGCCAGAAGAAGCTACTTTCCAATTTAGACTTGAAAACTGCCATACCACCAAGTGAATCATATAGCCTAAAAGAGATAAGACATGAACATTGATACACATTTATAATCTCATTACAAGAAAAAAATGTGAACTAAAACAGTAAGATTGACAAGAGTACTGATGCCTTAAAGAGACAGATCTCTAGCAGTGATAAGATCCTGAGAACTGCCCTTTGCTTTTGAATAGCATGTATATTTCCCCCAATACTTTTTTTTTTAATTTTTTTTTCAACGTTTATTTATTTTTGGGACAGAGAGAGACAGAGCATGAACGGGGGAGGGGCAGAGAGAGAGGGAGACACAGAATCGGAAACAGGCTCCAGGCTCTGAGCCATCAGCCCAGAGCCCGACGCGGGGCTCGAACTCACGGACCGTGAGATCGTGACCTGGCTGAAGTCGGACGCTTAACCGACTGTGCCACCCAGGCGCCCCCCCCCCCCCAGTACTTTTGTATGTGAGTCATTCAAGTCATTCATGCATTTGTGTTCTCTGCCCACCTGTAAAGTAATGCTCTAGATCAAGCCTAGGGAAGAAGGAAAACCAAAAAATGATTACATCCATCTAAAAATAGCCAGACAGGAATCATCAGCTGTTCAAAAGAAAAGTTATTTCTAAGTATACTTATAAATGCTTATTGTAGAAATACTTAGATTGAACAAGACATCTTCAATTCAGGTTGGATTGATAAGTAACTAATAGAAGACAAAACCATCGATGTGCTGAAGACACACACACACACAGACACGCTGACCGAATTCACAACCGATACGACTTTAAGAAACACTAAAGAACATATTTTAAGCTGAAGGAAAATAAGAACAGTTACAAGTGCAAGAAGCAACCAACAGTTGTGGAAAGGGTAAATATGTACATAAATATAAAAGAATATTAACTGTTTAAAATAACAATAATGATAATTTCTTGTGAGGCTTACGACATGTAGAAGCACAGGACAATAGCAAAACAGTATAGGCAACAATGGAGA